GGGAATTAATTATTCATCCTAACGAAAGACCAAACACTTTACTAATTGTCCTGGAAGGAAAGGGCTGGGAAGGCGGTGGGAGATGGGGCAGACATCAGGTTGGAAACCAGCACCATTTATGAAAGGAAAAGGATGGAAGAAGAAAAAAGTTGTTGGATGGGATCAAAACATTGCTCCACTTTTAGAGCTGGGGTTGTCTCTTCACTGTCTTATCCTGTTGGACAACACTCCTTGTAATGGTACAGGCTCCAGCAGAATAATCATGTCAGGATGTTCCACTTGTGCTCTGATTTAACGCTTGCTCTCCAAGCCTCATATCCACTCCCCCAGGCTTCCTTGCCTGGAAGTGCGCTGTACTCCCTCGATTAGGAAAATAGGTGTCAGCACTGGGAGAAGAGCTTCTTCCAACCTCAGGTGTGCACGTGTACATATGTGTGTGCTCTTGCACATGCATGGGGTGACAGGCATACTGCTGGGGGGCAGCACCCCAAACCACAAGGAATATTCATCTACTGCATCCCCTGCTCCATCTCTGAACCATCAAGATAAAAAGACCACCACCTAAGACACACAGAACTTGGGTTGCACGAGGTGCACTAACTGCCACAGGGTAAATTGTCTTTGCCTCTGCCATGGGGGAGCTCAGGGGAACTGCAAAAAGGGCAACAAGGCACTTTCCAGGACAGCATTCTCAAAATCCAGACAGCACCACAACAAACCAGCCTGCCCTCCTCGTCCCCATGCTCACGTTGCAGCTCTGCAGCATGGAGGGAAGCAGCCATCTAGGAACCGCTCTCTTCTGCTTCACCCCAGCCACAGCAGAAAATGAGGGCACGAGCATGCACAGGATTTCACTGAGGAGGCCAGACAGAGGCTGGGCTCATGACTGCCACTTGCATTTGTAGGTTTTTGGGACAGCTGTCCAGACTTGGAGAGCCAGGCTTTCCTCTGCTGGCACAGGCTGGTACCCATCCAGTCAGCTCTGCCTTTGCTAAGGGCACAGCAGGCACCACCTGTGATCACTCATTCCTGCCTTCCCTTGGCCACGCTCCACCCCACAAAATCCCTTAATGAAAACCACAGTGCCCAAGGGCTTCACAAAAGGCATCCAGGTGTAGCAGCTATTATTAAACCCTCCAAAAAACCCTGATGCCAGCTCTTCCTTTTAATGACCCTGGTGTATTTATCCTGGTTTTACAGCGCTGCTTCCCTGACTTCAGAGCAGCACAACTTCACAAGGGCCTTTTGATTCACGTTTTGGTTATTCCCCATTGTGAGAAGTGTTCCCCCACCCCTTCACCTCTCACATAATGTATTATTGTATTACTGCTGCAACTGCTATAAAAAAAAGCGAACTCAGTGCTATGATGCTCAGGCATTGGAGTGTGTGAAGCACACACCCACCTGGATACTTGCAGAGGCAACTTTTAACCCTTCTTTTTCCACAAGCACCTTCAAATATGGTGTGGGACAAGGCAGGCTGCTGCAGGGTCCTCGTTCTCTGTTCATTACACTAGTGGCACCTGGGGAGCAGGGAGCTGATTGATGCTTTAGTTGCTGATGGCTGAAGCTCCTTCAACCCTCTTAGGACCACCAGTTAGGAGGTCTCCAAGCACCCACTGCCCTTTCCGTTTCAGAGCAGTTTTCCACTTTTTGGTCCAGGACATGCTGCATGTATGAGTACAGCTTCATGAGTACAGCTTCAGCACCTGGACAGCTCTGGTTCATGCATGGGCAAGGCGAGCATCCCCAAGAACCAGAGGAAACAGACATTCCCCTCCCTGGCTCTACCTCAAAAAGAGTGAAGTTATTTTCTGCATGCTTTTGGATAAAAATTTTTAGCTGAGGAAGAACAGGCTGTTTTTTCAGGCAGCAATGATGATTTGGAAACCACAGGTTATAAACAGAGCAGGTTTACAAATGTGACTATTAGTTCCCCAGTGGAAGCTTTAGCATCACGGAGTTTTAGGTGGGCGTTGATTTCCGTTAAAGATGCAAAAATCTGGATTTATTGACACAAGAAGCAAACACCAGTTGAACCCAAGTCAGTGCCATCTATTCCTGTACAGGGTCGTGAGAACCTGCTCACAGCAGTAGCCCCTCATGTGGCTAATATACATGCCCAGGATATTCTCCTGCTAGGGGAAACCCCAACACAGTATCTGGGACCATGATGCCACCTGCATTAAACACCTCTCACACCAAACATGTCATAAAAAGTAAGTGCAGAAAGGAAAAATCCCCCTGTCACACTTGGAGGGACAAGGCCCAGTAAGCATGACGCTGGGTCTCTCTGGGTCCATTAGGGATGGATCCTGGAGTGGGATCCTGCTCACACAGATATCCTCTGGTCCATCATCACGGGATGCATCAGCATCCCTAACAGGTCAGCACATCCCAAGGCAAGCACTACCTTACACTACAGATGCTCACAACATCCCCTCTGCCACAGCCACGGCCTCTTGTTAAGTCACGACAAGATCCTAACCACATAATTCTCCCTAGCTCGACGGTCCCTGTACAGACATTCCCACATTTATCAAACGTAAAGTTTTAGTCCACAAAGATGATCCTGAACCCACTGGTCGCCCGCACACATCCCCCGTGCAGACTTCACCGCCCGCCTTACGCAACCGACACAGCATGAACCGCCAAATGCAAACCCTCTCCCACAAGCTGTTTGCAAGTCATTTGCCAGCCAAGGATTATTTGCTGAAGAAATTTGCCAATAATTCAGCAGATCAAACAGACGAGTTTCTTGCAAGGGAGTCACAACCACAGCACTGAAGAGCAGCAGCTCTATCAGCACCACACAGCAAAAGCAAGAGCTGAACAGCCCAGAAGAGCCTATGACCTCAGCCAGCTGATCCCCCAGTGACCCAACCCTCCCCAAAACTGGTCTATGGTGAATATTTGTGGATTGCCTACTTCGCCCATCATACAACAGAATCTGTCCCAAAAGGCCAGTGAGCTCATGCCAGCAGGCACCGGCACTTCTGGTGCAAAGCCAGCAGGTAACTGGGCATTTCTTGGAGAGTGTTTCATCCTGCTGGCAAAACATTAGGATGTGAAGGGATAGTAGTGAAGCAGACCCCAGAGGGCTGCCCCCTGTAACTGGCAGTATCGGGGGACCCAGGCACCTCCTGGCAGGACGGCTGGCACAGTGCTAACAGTCCTTCATGGACAATTGATTCCCTGGCACAGGGCCCAGCTGGGCGCGGCACTGAAAGGAGCTGGCAAGGCTTTCATGAGTGAGTAATTGCTGAATGCTGACTCAGCATCAGCTCGGTTACAGTCAGCTCACCCAGAGCTGTGGGGAGGGCAGGGAGAGGTCTGTGGCAAACCCGCCCTCACAGCCCAGTGCTTCCCCTTGGCCCAGGTTCTAAAGGATGCGCGGGCCAGGAGACAGCCAATGGGCATTTCCCAGTCACCCAACCACTTTCCTTACACTCAGCAGCATCACAGCTGCACAGTGAGGCCAGAACATACTCTCTTGTTGCTAACCAGAGGTGGCATGTGCCCCATGCTGTTCCTAGAGATGTGACCACTTTTGCTCAGCCCAGGAGCTGTGTCTGGTTGCTTGCCCCACAAACCTGCCTTGCCTTCAGAAGCCGTCCCCTGACAGTCACTCTGCAGATGCAGAAGAGCCAGCTACATCTTGTGTGATGGTTGCACCAGCTGGTTGCACCAGCCAGTTTGCTACCCACTGAGAAGCACCACCCCACCACCAGCACACCAAGACATCCTGCCTTCATAAGCAGATATGGTCCCACCTCCCAGCAAGCCCATCCAGATCCGCACTGGGCCAAGGGAGTCAAAGCGTTCCCGGTCATGTTCTCCTCAAGCCTACTTTCAGGCACAGTCCCAACCTGAATCTTTCCACTATGGACAAGCAGCACCCATCACTACATCCTCAGCAACACCAGGCTCAGCATCCCCCTTCCTCCCCCAAATACCCAAACAGGCGTCTTGTCTCACATGGTGCCACCACCCTAGAAGCCAAGGGACAGGACTGTGCAGCAAACAACTTGGGAGACCCCAGGTATCTTGCCTGGGTCCTATGCCTCAGTTTCCCAGACATCCCCACAGCTTCTTTGTACCTCCCAAAGCTCATGAGGTGCTTGGATGTCTACAGGCTCCCTCTGTATGCAGCAAACTAGCTTCTCTGAAGGTGATCATTGGCATGCAAAAAGAAACAGCTGCAATCCAGGCACCCCTTCCCAGGGCCCCTAGGTGGCTGCAGGCACTCACCTACTCCCTCCACAGAGTGAGTGGCCCAGAGGAGTCACCCTGGGGGACTTCTGCTCAAGGCAAATACCACTGTTGTCTAACTGAAGCCCAAATGCCTCTAGTTGGTTCTGTGTCACCAGCACAGCTCATCACACTGCAAGCAGGACTCAAATCTGGGCCATGTCCCTGGCAATGACACCACCAGTGACACAACCAGCACCCGTGAAGCTCTGTGTGCTACCACCCCCAGCGTCACTGCTGCATACTGGGACACTGAATGAGCATCACCTGGGAACATGGCCCCACCCAGACCTCATTCCTAAACCTCCAGCACCAGGCCAAGGCTGGAAAGTGCTTGGGAAGACCAGAAGAGAAGATATTTTTGCCCTCACCACGTAAGGTTTGACCAAAACCTCTCCCAGATTACATCCAGTTGCTTATCAAGCCATGCTCCTACCTTGTCCTCACCCTGCCCCACCCCCAGAAAAGTGACAGATGCCAGGCCACCAACTGAGGAAGCTAGACATGATACCCTCAGAGCCAACCCTCCTCCTCATCTGATGGGGAATCATGTCTCTCCACCAGCTGCCCGCAGCAAAGCCAACACAGGAGCACCCAGCACAGGGATCCATCCTCCCCTCCCTCTTTGGGATGAAGAAACAACAGCAAACCAAGGCCTTGGACCACATTCTGGAGTTTGTGTCCCTACTAGGACGAGCGCCCATGCCCAGCCACCCATCCCCACCACAGGCCCCACAGTCCTGACTCACCCGCTGAGGACTACGATGAAGTCCATGACATTCCAGCCATTGCGCAGGTATGAGCCCTTGTGGAAAACGAACCCCAGGGCCACAATCTTAATCCCAGCCTCGAAGCAGAAAATACCGATGAAGTAGGGCTCCGTCTTCTCCTGCCAGAGGGAAACAGAGTGACATAGTGAGAGCTGGAGATGGGGCAAACACAGCACCAGCCATTTCATATTTACCCCACTCACGTCCCATCCCATCTTCCCCAGCCCCATCCTCTTTTGGGAGCTTTCACAACCCTTCCTCAGCCAGCATCAACCTTGGAAATAAAAACAGGGTGACTATGACTCACCCAAGTTTCCCAGTCCCCCTTCCCTATCCCACTTTTTTAGGGGCTTAAACCTTCTTGAACCCTTTCCATAGAGGAGTATGTGACAGCAGCCCCAGGAACACTGGAGGATCTGATCCCAGAGGAAACCTCCCACTGTCCCACCCTGAAATCAGAAAAAATTGGCTAGGAGAACAGGTTGGCTCCCCTTGGTTGATGACCCCTCTCACCCTCCATATCCCCCAATGTAGGCTGGAGAGAAAGGACACGGGTACTTACTAATCTCCGTGACATGGGTGTCTTGTCATCCTCGGGGAGGTGCTGCTCGAGGGCTAGCACGATGCAGTTGGCAATGATGGTTGCCAGGATCATGTATTCAAAGGGAGTGGAGGGGAGTTAAGGAGCAAAGAAGAGGTAGATGATGTCCCCAGCCCACCGCTGCCCACCCTTCATTTCACCTGCTCATCAGCCACCACCACCGCTTTGCCCACAGGAACATGCATACACAGAGCCCAGGTTTTGCCTCCTGCTGCTCCCAGCCAGGAGGGTGAAGCCCCATTGGTGCTCTTTGGAAGTGAGAGGGGTGACAAGAGAACTGAGAGCCCCCAGGATGTTCCTCGCTGAGCCTTTCTTGATGAGCCTTATCACCTTCCCAAGTTCATGGGACATTAACCTTTGCTGGGACTGCGAACATTCTTAGAAGAGAGACGCAGCTTGTGCTGAGGGTCCAGAGGATGGACACAAGTATGAAGGTGGACAGCCAGGGTCTGACCAGACAGGGCTTCATCTTGGAAACGGTTTGGCATGGTCCCTGACAGCGTCAGGGAAGTCCTCCCTGGCATGGCATGGTGGTGGCCATGGTCAGCATGTTTCTGCATGCCATGTTCTTGTTGCCAGCCTTCTCTATTCCACCATGAAGAAGCAGGAGATGGGGCTTTGGAGGAAGGGAGGAGGGCAGGTCACAGGCTGTCAGCAGCTCTGGTTCTAAAGCATCCCTGTGGGAGAAATCATCTGCACAGCTCAGGGAGGACAGAGCTTCCCTAGCAGGTCCTGGGGATCTGAGGTGGATCAGCCCACTCCGTGCCCAGCACTGGCAAGGTGGTCATGCCCTGGGAACCAAGGGTCTCTTGCCAAGCATGCTGCAGGTGGCAGGGTGAGACCAAGCAGTGCTCAGGAGCTGTGGAGCACCAGGCTGAGCATTCACAACTGAACTGATGGTGCCTGGGTCTGAGCTTCAATACAGGCAGGGTGGAAACTCCCTAAGGAGACATCAGAGCTCAGCGATACTTCACGAGACCACAAGGATCAGCAGTACCTTATCACCAGGATCTGGCTGGACCCTTACGAGCATCCTAAATCCTACAGCCATGCCTAGGGTTTGCAAACCCTTCTGTGGGAGTTGGCATCTGAGGACCTGAGTGAGTGGGAAGGGGTGGGCAGAGAAAGGGCAGGCTGATGACCAGGAAAGCATCCAAAACTCAGCCCCCTCCTGCCTTTTGATTCACAGGATCTGCTGGGAGCAAGGTGGGGGCATGTAGCTCCCTCCTGTTGCCTGGCCCAGTGCCAAGCCCTAAAAACAAAGCAGTTCCAAGCAACAGAATGGACCCATCTTTCTGACTTCCCATCCATCTTTACCACACCTTTGCAATAAAAGAAAGCCCTATTGTTCTCAAAAACAAAATGAGGTGAGATTCATCAACAAGCAGCACACCCATTTTCCATTCCTTCCACGCCAAAAAATCCCAGCTGTATTACTGTCACCACTGGCATCAGCAGTCACCCCAGGATGGAACTGCCACCATCCCAAGGCTTATGTCTGTGGAAATCAGATGTGATACCACTTGGGATGGATTTTTCCATAAGGACATCACCCATGCTCCCACCATTCCCAAGCTGGTAGAAGGATCAGCAACCCAGGTGAGCTCTTTCACACGGCACTGGGCTTCTCCAGACCCATCAGCTTCAGGTCCACACCTCTCAGGCCAGGAGGAGCCAAAAGCCCGTGCCATCACCTCAGGGAAAGGGGATACTTTTCTTTTTTTCAACCTTGCTTTTTGTGCACTGAAGCCACTGACTACAGCAAGATGCTTTAAACCAGCAGCCCTGAGCCTGTGTGCAAGAGAAAACATCCCAGTGCTGGCCATGAGTGTGGGAAACTTAAACCACGAAGTGACCCTGGTGGCAGCAACCCCAGCAGCAGCGACCCTGTTTACCCTGTGGCACATGGGCAAGGTGGAAGTGGGGCTGGGCATCAGAGCAGTTCCCCAGAGGGCTGTCCAGGAGGGGTAGCCAAGGAGAGCCTGCAGGAGCTGGGATTTATTTAGCCCAGTAGGAGGAAGAGCCAGGAAGGATTCAGCCAAGGCATTTAAAAGGCCACTCAGTGAAATTAATGGTTGGTAAGTTAGAGGCAAACCAAAAGAGAGAGTGCTACAAAGCTCACTTAATGTGGGCTCAGACCTCTTAACACAAGCAAGGACTTCATCGCACAACTCCTGCAAAAGCCACATACTCTCCCTGCTTCCCACCTCTAGCTGCACGCTTCAGCTGATACTCAGACTGCAGCGCTTGGCCCCAAGCCACTGGCCTATTTGGGGTCTTTTTGTTTCATTTTCCTGAAAGTCTGATAGCAATTAGCACAGGCTTAAAAGAAAACAGCGTGTTAGTGGGGCGGTGCAGCCAGCTCCCCAGGCACCAGGCACATTTGCCTAGATGAGAAGTGTGGGAACTGCACAGTCCATCTGTGAGCCCCAGGACATCTACCCTGCCAAGCATCCTGTGCTCCTTACCAACATGCTGGGCATCTACCCCTGCATCCTCCCTCCTGTTGCTGCTAGTCCCACAGGGAAAACACCCAGGTGGGAAAAAACCAACTTCTTCAAAGCCAGCAGTGAGACAGCCCAGCCTGGCAGTGGCTGGGGGGCTCAGAACCACCTCTAATGGACCACCTCTAATGGACCACTTATATTTCCTTGCTGGTTCTAACATCTGTCTTGACAGTGCATGGACAGTACACACTTGTCACAGCCCCAGCAAGAGACCACATCCCTGCTCCACCTCCAGTGAGCATGTGGTACATGGTTTGGCAGATATTAAGCCTAAGCAAAACAGGGAATTGCTACCTAAGCAGCAACCTAAGCAGGAGCTCACAGCCGAAAGTGACTCTCCAAGCCCTGGTAGCCCTGTTTTCCAAGGACCAGAGCCTGGGTTAACACATCTGGAGCTGTGAAAGAGCTGCAAGGCATCAACCCCATGGACAGAAACCCCAGTAGCCCCAGCTGTGCCAAGTTTTGCAAGGCCAAAGGTAAGAAAACCCTCCCCAAGGGACAGCAGGAACACCTGGCTGAACTAGGGGAAATTTTATCTACACATCTTACTTCTGCCAAGCAAGCATCCCCCCCAGGCTGGGGTTGGAGACCACTGGACAACGCTCTGTCACTCCTTTGTTTACTCTCTCATTATATGTCTAACTACACAACCTTCCAGCCACCTGAACCACAGAGTAGCACTCTTTTCCCTGTGAGCCCAGTAATGAAAGCCCATATCCCTCCAGCCTTCTCTTCCTCCTTTGTCTGGCTTCTCCTGGAGGATCATTAGGGAGCCGATAAAAATAGGTTTTCTTATTGATTTATCTCCTTTGCCCAACACTCTCCCCCCTGCACTGTTGACTTGTTTCCTTAGCAACTCGGCCAGTCCCAGTGCACACCACACCTGCAGCTCCATGCTTCCCTCCCAGTGCCTTTGAGGTGGAGAAGGTTCCCCCAGGCCATGTGGAGATCCCCATACCCAGGCCCAAGCCCACTGGAGTAGGCACTGCTGATAACCCAATGACTGGAGCTGGAGCTCTTTGGAGTGTCTGGCAGGAGCTAGCAGCAACATGTCCAGTCACCGGTGGATCATTGCTTCCAGCTGTGACCCCCCCCTTCTTCACCTCCATCACCAACTAGAAGCCAAAACCAGGCTACCCAGAACATCTATATTGCTAACACAGGGAGTGTGCCCAGCTCCAAGCCCTGAAGATAGATTTATGGTGCTGATAGCACATTGATGCAACCTCCCCAAGAGGCTGGGTGCAAGATAAATCCCTCCCCGGATGTGGGCATGGGCTGGGAGCTGCAGAAAGCCCCCTCCATCTCCCCATTTCAGTGACCGTGCCTTCTCCCTTGTCCTGGGCAGACAGGTGAGGAAGGTGCAGAAGAGCTGAAGGAGTGAGACCACATGGGCATTTTCAAAAGGGTTCTTGAGGAAGCCTACCTCAGAGGGCCAGGGTGAAGGGCAGGAACAATTTAACCCTCGTGCTGCCTGCATCATCCAGCCCAGCTCCAACTTCTAGAAACTTACAAGTCTACATTTCCCACTGCTCCCCAGGCTTCCCCCCAGTACCTGCTGCACTGAGGGGCTTTCCCTCCTCCTCCCCAGGTGTCAGTGAGAAGGAGCTTCAGTTCTTACATCTGTGCACTTCATCTTGTTCATCCCAACCCCACCACTGATGCCTGCTCCACACAGATGTGGCCTGGCAGGAAGAAAGGCCCACCTCTTCAACATTCCTATCCCTAGGAAGCCCAGATACCCCCTTCTCTGAACTCCAGATCCCTACAAGAAAGTGAGCACCTCTTTTCCAACGCTGTTTTCCAAGAAGTGCCCAAAATGATAAATGGGGCAAAGACCATGAGCGATCCTAATTTAACCCTGTGGTTCCCTAGCTCTACAACACCTCCCTGGCTTCTCCCTGAGGACACAAGGGGTCCTTCCCCAGCAGATAAAGGCTTAAGGTTGTGCTTGTGTCTCTGCACAACTTCGAGGGAGCACCCAGACAAGATGCTCAGCCTGCCTAAATCTCATTGCACAGCCACATCCCAGCTACTGGCTATCTGCTGCCATAGATGTTGCTGTTTATAACTTCAAAATGAATCGGGCTGATGCCCATCAGGGGCCAAACCAAAGGCAGTGCCATGCAAAAGCCAGTCAGAGCAGAGCTGCCTACACTGGTGTCATTCCCGTAGGGATGCAGGATGCCTGCCTGCCACGTGCAGATAGCTCCATGGAAAAATGTCTCCTTCTCCCCCACCTCACCCTACACTTAAAACTCAAAATCAAATCTTTCTCCTCTCCTTTTTTTTTTTTTCCTTGAACAAAAAAGAAGTACATCATGTGATTTTCCTGCCTTAACATCAGTTTTTTAACTTTGGTTGCCACAGCAACAGGATGCAACTTGGCGTCACCATGACAACAGCTGCCTCTGTTTAAATCCACCATCTGACAGGCAGCCTCGCTCTACCCGGCTGTCAAAAAAGATGGACCTTCCATTACACCTACTCGCCCCTCCCCAAAAGAATGAAATAAATTATCATCTGATGAATGAAGGACACAGAAAACAGCCCTAGAGGGAAAAAAGAGACATTCTTGGGTAGCGCAAGAGGGGAGCTGCCCAAGGCTGGCACAACATGGCACAGCTCTTCCAGCAGGGAGGCAAGACCAGCCAAAATCTTGGCTGGGCAAAAGTAAAGGGGCAGAAGGTGCTTGCCCAGGTGGGGCATAACACTGGCATGGTCCGTGAGGGGCAGTGCCCTTGCAGCACCAGAGATGCCTGGGTCAAAATGGAAGTCATCATGAGCAGAACAGGTCAGGGACAAATGGGTGTGCATGCCATGGAGCAAATCCTCCATGTGTGTTGGGCCAGGGATGCACACTAGGGCTTTGCAGACACCCCAGCTCCTCTTGGTCATACCAGCACAAGATAGGGTATTCAAAGGGATTGGGATAGGAGAAAGCCTCCACTGTAGGGTACAGCAAGCTCTCCAGAGGACTGGTGGACATCCTTCTCCCATGCCAAACCAGGGGGACAGGTAGAGAGGCCAGTGTGCACCTGCAGCTGGAAACCATCCTTGGGGACATAACCAGAGCCACACAATGTCATCTGGCGTATCTGGGGCGGTAGAGGGATTTTATCCAGGTCAAATGTGATTAAGTAGATAAAGAATGGAGCAATATAGATGAGCTGCGCCCATCTCATGTGCTAACTGAATTGCAGCTTTCCAGGCAGCCAAACAAATGAAATCAGGGCTAAAGGCCTGGCATTCAGTGGGCGGAGAAGAGGCAGGATGAGGCTATGTTCCTGCAGAAAAGTAGTTGTTCCTACAGCCAGAACAGCAGCTTCCTCACGTTTTGGGCAGGACCAGTAAAAAGCGCAGCTCCAGTGGAGGCAATGCATTGAACTTTCCAGCAAGGAACTCGGCAAAGACTCGCCTCCCCACAGAGCTGCATCCCAGTCCCAGTTGCTCGTATTTCTCCTCCTTTCCTTCCATGCATCATCCCTATTTACACTGGGAAGCCGAACTGCAGAGGCTGCTGGTTATAATTATACGGTTACCCAGCAGATATACAGGCCTGAATCACCAGTTATTTTTAGCCCTATTACCTAGTCAACTGGAGCTGGATGAAGAAGAGCCTCCACTTCTCCCCGCGCTCCAACCCAGCCCCCTTGTCTGTCTTCAGTGCTGTGCCCACTCTGACCCACAGTACCAGAACAAGCTCATCTCCCTTCTAAAGCCAACAGCTCTCACTGACTGTGGCCAAGATCCAGTGCTTACCTCCTCAAACCACCCTCGCCCAGGAGCGATGCCATGGGCTCCAGGCCAGGCAGCTGAGTTGCTCACACATTTTCTCTGGCCCTATCAAAATGCACCAGCTACATATGCCAGGCTACAACTACGAGGATGGGAACAACACACCTGGCCAACCTCACCAAACTCATTACCAAAACAACTTGTCCATCCCCAAGCCCTTATGAGCTCAAGTGGTGCAGAGGAGCTCCGGGGTGGATGAGTTTCTTAGAAAGAGAAGGCAGGCAGGCGGGGGACTGCCAGGGAAGCTCAGCTCCCGCGCCTGGAGCACACCCATTCCCAGCACTCACACAGGCATATGTCACCTACTTCTGCAAAAAAAATATGAAATGAGCCCATCTCCCTCATGCATTGCAAATTCCAGGAAAGAATAACACTGGGGAGGTTTTACTGCGCGGTGGTGAAGCTCTAGTCTCTAGGAGACAGCGGCTGCCTAGAGATGAGACATCATGCCGGCACGGGACCCCGGCCCACGCGGGGAGTGCTGGGCCAGCGGCAGCACCCCAGCTCCTTCTTGCTTCAAATGAAAGCCGAAGAGGTGAGGGCCCTCCCACACCGTGCTGAAAAAGCACATGAATAATTTGGCATGTTCTGGAAAAGCAGGCAGGGCGGCCTGGCCGCTGCCCTGCAAGGCTCCAAGCTGAGCTGCTGCATGCCCATCCTCACTACCACACCAAATCTCCTGCAGCCACCCACCCAGCGGGTGCTGCCAGCAGGGGCAGATTTAGGGATACAACGGGGAATTCAGCCCCCCCAAGCTGCCCCTTCACCTCCAGGTCACCCTTCCTAGCCTGAGAGATTTGTGGCTCTTCAGCCAGGACCAGCTCATGCCTGGCAGAGGCTCAACCTGATGTGTCAGAGCTGCAAAGGGACTACTTTCCCAGGGATGCTCAGCAGGGTGGGTGACCTGTCCTGCATCCTTGCGCCTCACCAGATGGTTTCCCTAAGGTACCTGTTGCACCAGACAAAGCATTGATGCTTGGCACCAGGGCAAGCTCTCCTGCGCCTGCTGGAGGAGCCAGCAAGTTAACCAACAAGTTACAGGGAGAGAAAGCAGCAGCAGCAAGAGCTGCATGTAATCACCACTGCAGAAAACAGCACAGGGAGGGTCCTAAAGCCAAAGCACAGCCACACTGAAGTTTTCAGGCTTGGCTCCTCCATAGAGGCAAAGCCCAGCAGGGGTCTCAGGGAGCAGCAGGGCACTAAGCACAGCGCTGATGGGGAATTGAGTGCTGTGGTGCTGGGCACTCGCCAGGGTGACCGTAGGTACCCACAGTGAGGGTGGGAGGAGAGAAACACGCGTGGGGGTGCAAGAAAGGATGGAGGTGCAGGGGAAGAAAGGGGTGGATTCGCACCCTCCACCCAGGCCAAGAAGGGAGGGTATCTGGGATAATCCACAGTCCCCTGCAGCAGCCCCCAAGGGGCTGTACGGCTCAGCGAGAGGTTTTCAGAATCTTCCCCTCTGCTGCAGGGAAGGGGCAACCAGTTCCAAGAGCCACCATGGGGGGCCAGGGGCTGCAGGCCGAGGATGGTTGTACCCTTGCCAGGTGTGATCAGCAGCAGAGAGCACACATAGGCAGGTGCAGCAAGGAACAAAGCCACCACCCAGCAGGGACTGGAGATTCATGGGCTCCCTCGGTCCATCCCCCAGTGGACTGGGTGACTCCAGGCAGGGTAAGGTGGCAAAGCTTCAGGAAGGCATCAAGGCACAGAAGGCCACAACCCCTCCCCCAGCCACACACGCACTGAGCATCCTAAAGCATGCAGGGTTAAACGGGGATTGGAGCACCCTTCCTTGCCAGCACAAGGAGCTCCAAAATCCAAGCCTGAGGAGAGGCTGGGGGGCTCCCCCTGAGGGAGAAGGGGTTCACCTCTCCACCAGGTGCCAAAAAGAGCATAGGAGGGAAAGCAGCAACAGGGCAAGGACAGCATCCCTGGGGGACAGGGCACCCCTCTCCACATGCATCAGGAGAGCAGAACCAGGTGCTTACCTGCCCGCTAGTGCCACACACGTGTCCTGGGCAGCCACTGAGGCAAATCCGGGGAGCAAGGGGGAGCTCGCAGGGGGCGCAGAAAGGATATGGCCAGTCGATGAGCTTCTTGGCATATTTCCTGACTATGTTCTCTTCTCCAAAGAGGAAGAGCGATCTGTTGACAGTGAAGCAGTTCTGCCGGACAGGAATGGGGTTATACAGAGCCATAGTCCGGGCTCTTTGCGCTTTGGTTTGCTTGAAGCCTCCTGGAGAGCCTCCCGCAGGGGCAGAAGCTCCTTGCCGGCTCCGGTTCTGGTCGGAGCCCCCATCTCCGGAGCCCAGCCTGCCGGCCACCGCCTCCCCAAAACAAGCCATCCTGGAAGAAAACACACAGGTGAGCCAAAGCAGCACCACCGAGGCGGCAGGGGGGGGAAGAAGAGGGAGGGGGATCGCTGGCGCAGTCCCAACCACAGCCCCCTCCTCCTCTCCGGGTGATGCTCAGCCCCGTCTCTTTTGCATCCCTCCGGGGACCCGCGTGTAAAGAGAGAGGCTGCCGCGCACGCCCCGAGCAGCGCCTCCGGACCCCGCAGCGGCCACGCGGACGGCAGGAAAGCAGGGGCCGGCCAGCGTGCTCGGCCGAGGCCGCAGCGGCTCGCTCCCTAAGCACCTTCCTCCAAGAAGCAAGGGGTTAAACCCAGCCACATTCTTCCCACCGCTCTGCCTGCAAGCCCCAACCAGCCCCCTTTAGCCCCCAACCCCCTCCCAGCAAGGCGAGCCCAGGGGCTGCCTGTCGGCTGAGATCAGGCAGGGAAGGGGCTGGGATCCAAGTCCATCCATCCGCCCCGGCGCAGAGGAAGACGCAATTTGGTACAGCACCCAGCGCAGCGGAGGCCGGGGAAACAGGTTGCAGCGTGGTCCAGCCTAGTTGGAGCCAAGTGTCCAACTCCCTCCTCCCGACTCCATCTTCAGCAGCCTGCGGGAGCCCGGCCACCCGTCCGCTGGCTCCCCGGGGCAGCGGGCAGAGCCCCCCCGGGCAGGCACCGGCGGTGGCAGGGATGCCCAGCCCCTCGCTGCCGGGGCAGGAGCGAGCACGGCGACGCCGGCTTCCCGCAGGAGCCGGAGCACGGAATTGGAGGCTGCCGCGCCTCTGCAGCTCGGGGACAGCTCGCTTTAATGAAGTCAGTGGCAACACACGCGCACACAAGCGCGCACACACGCACACCCGCCCGGCTCGCTCCCTCGCTCCATCCGGTGCATTCTTTTGGCAAGCACGGGAGCTGCCGCAAAGGAACATCAGAGGCGAGGGGAGGGTCTGAAGGGAACAAAGGCAATGGGAGAGCCCTCACCCTGCAAGAAGCACCCCACACACACACCTCCGGCCGGCTGCAGAGGGCTTCCCAGCACATGGGTGCCCCTAGGTGAGTGGCTAAATTGAGGTGCCCAAGGGGGTGGGGGGGGCAAAGGGTGGCTCTGCCCCCACCCTGCCCCCAGGGGAGGCAAGAGGCTCACCCCATATCAGCCCGCACCGAGCATCTCTCCGACCACATGCACCATCCCCCCTCCCTGCGAAACTTCGGGAGCCGCCCTGATGCCAGGGGTGCCCGGGGAGAGCCCTCCTGCTCACTCACATACAGATCAGCCGCCTTAGCCCACCCCTGCCTCCGTATTTCCTTTTTGACACTTGATGTTGGCCAAAAGAAGCAGCAACTCATTGAGGAGGTGTAAACAACCCGATCTGGATGTGACCCTGCAGCAGCAGCCACAGTGGGGAAGGTGGGAAGGACTGGCCCGGCCGCAGCACCCGTCTGGCCTCCAACCCTGCTGCCCCAGCCCACCATGGGCAGAGGACTGGGACACTGCTGGTGCTGCACCCTCACATCTGTGGCCATGTGGGTGCCAAGGTCACACAGGGATGCTCAGGGTCCCCTGGGCTGCACTGTGCCGTGGTATGGCCGCTGCCTGCCAACCCACCTTTGGGGAACACACCCTGCCGTCCTAGCATATACAGGGGACTTGTGGCTCCCCAGGGGTGTTCCCAATGTCTTCCCTATCCAAAGAGCAGGTCATCAGCCTCACTGCTCAGCACACCCTGCAAGCTGCTCTCACACAGAATTCCCCAACCCCTCCCATTCAATCCCTCATCTGAAGGGCTCTCCATGGCCTTAGACACTTACTACCTGCTTTTCCTGCAGGAAGGGCACCTGCAGCTTCAGTCAGCATGACAAGACACCCTGCAACCCTGTGATGCTCTTTGCCTATCCATCCCACTACCAGCAACCTGCTCTGCAAAAGTAACCACTGCAGCCCTATCCCCTGTTTGGAACATCTGGGCAGCAACACCCCCACCCCCCCCCAAAAAAAAAAGTGGAATGAAAAGAAAACAAAAGAGGAAAATTTACAACAGTCAAGCCCTGAATCAGATAAATCATTAACTCATTTGGGTAAGGGCTGTTCCACCTATGCAGCCTGGCAGCAGCACCTCACCACAGACTTCTCCACCCTGCAGGCACTACCTTGACCAAATGGCCATAGCGGTTACTTTTTAGCCCAGGTTCTCACATGTGCATTGCCAGAAGCCCTGGGGCTGGCTGGGTGAGGAAGGAGGAGGGTCAGGGCCTCCTCAGCAAGATAACAGAGGAGTGTTTGCAAAAAAGGCTGTGGGTTCATTCCCTCAACCTCAGCCAGACACCGAGAGCCCACAGGTTCACCATGATGCCCATCCCTACTTGACTTTGCTCCTCTGATTAGCCTTATAACCGAGGTGGGTGTAAGTGGGGAGGCTCAGCAAGTCTCCCACCTCTGTCACCACCGCACTGCAGCACAAAGTTGAGAAGGGGTGGGCAGATTCCTCCCAAAATGCGTCACAGTCCACTGGCTGGCCCCTGAGCAAGCCAGAAAGCCAGAGTGACCCTGGGCTTCCACTAACAACAGGCAGTGAGGAGGCCACACCAGCTACCTACTAATTACAGCCCCTTTGATTATTCCACGCAAGACACTGCCCTAACCAAATCAATTAGGACTTGTGGCTCATCTGCTTTCCCTTCTCCTCCCCACCACCAGGACAGCACCAGGAGCAATGCCACTCTTCCCACCTTTCAACCCTTTAAGCCGTTGTTAATGAAGATCAAGACCAATTGCCAGAAGCAGATCCTCAGCCCTGTAGAGCTCCTTCCTCTGCTCCTCTCTGTCCCCCCAGACCTCTCCCCCCATCCTTCTGAGCCTGCAAACAAGCCTGCACCCAGACTAAATGCCCAGGCTCTAGCTGGTACCCAGAGGTCAATGACTGATAGGGAAGGCCGAACCCAGCATTCCCTCTGCATCCTCTGCCTGCTTCAGAGACACCACACCTGCCTCACCACTCCTGCAAGGGAGTAAGGGGAAGGAAGGCAGTGTTCCTCCTGCCCTTTCAAAGCAGGGATGCACACCTTACCTTGATACCTCTGCTGGGGCAGTGGGCTATCCCTTGTACCCCAGGGATCGCTCCCAGCTGTATTCTATATTTGCTGCTGCAGAGCAGAACCCAAGATGACCCCGCAGGGAGCCTCTCTCGTGTTCAGACAGTGCTAAAGGATGGGATATTTATGAGAGCAGCTCCTTCAGGGAAGATTTAAAGATCGAAAAAAAACCCAAGTCCCGCGCTATGCCAAGAGATGCAGGCTCAGTTCCCCAGGATGTTTATTGCTGTTCTCGTCTTGACCCTCACCCCAGCACACTGGGATCGGTGAATCAGGGAGAAGCGTGGCTAATGCCCACATGATTCAACATGGCACAGAGATTCAGAGCCAGTTATGCGGGGTTGTTCGGGTTTGGGGTTTGGTTTTCTTATTTGAATGAAGGAAATCCAGGAAGACAGGGCAACAGTGGGTGTCGGCATAGGAAGGCACTTGGGATGCGCTGGGTTCTACAGCGACAGACGAACCACCCTCCTCGCACTGGTATTGCCATTCGAGCCTCCTCCTTGACAGCTTTTTCTGTCCCCGCTCCCAGCCATGTGGTTACCCCTGCGCGACGCGACGGGACATCACCGCAACACAGCCCAAGCCCCCCGCACCTCCGCCGCGGGGACGCGCCCGGGCGGCGGCCGCTCCGGCACCGCCATCTACCGACGGCCGCCGCCCTTCCCGCAAGCCCCGGCCCCGAGCACTGCGTTTGGCTTCGCTTTTCCGCCTGCGATCGCGGGGAACCGAGCCCCTCCTTTGCCTGCCCTACCCGCGGTGGATTCTGAGGCAAGTATAAAGGCCTCCTCCCGCCCCGCAGTTACTGCATCCCTTCTGCCACTGGAGAAGCCTCCGGCTGAGCCCAGGCAACCTAAAGTCTCCCAGCTATGCACCCAAAGAACTGCCAATGTTGTTAAATGCATCCTCTGCTGAGCCCCAGGTTGTTCGGAAAACCAGAGGCTGCTCCTCATCTCAAGGATATCATCCCTGATGGAACCCAGGCAGGGTATGGAGAGGGGAGACAGGCTCTCCTTCCATGACTGACAGTTCCAGGAGCTCAGATAGGCTGCATTCATCTTGGAAAGTTGCTTTTGGCTTTAGCTATTCTGAGAGGGAAAAAAAGAAATAGGATCAAATGAGAATCATCTACAGTGCTCTGGCCAAATTTCAAATTGGGACTGGGTAGCTGTGACTCAGAAGCATGTTTATAACTAGGCAGGAATGGAAGTTTGGGATTTTTTTTTCCAGGAACAAATTCATTACATACTTGATTAGGAAGAGATGTTTTCCCCATTTGCAAAGGGGAAGCCCTGCCAAGCGCCAAGCACCTCTGCAACAGGGAGGCAGAACCCCAGGCTGGTGCAGCTCCCCCATGGACACCCAGGATTGCAGATGAAGAAGGTCCAAGCAGCTCCAGGGTGGCATCTCTGGAGGGAGGTACCACACCAGTCTCTGCCTGATGTTCATCTGTGCAAATGTTAGCAGCTGTGGCATGGGCCACAACAGCCCCGTTGGCATCTCTACTGCCAACAAAACCCCAGGCCAGGCACAACAGCCTTGGCTGTGCTGTAGAGACTCTGCACTGCCTTGCAGAGAGGAAGCTCTCACTGAAGCCAGGGCAAGTGTTTCCTCTCTGCTGTCTGCTCACTCTTTTTGATGACAACCTTGCCCAACTCACGGTGCTCCTCATAAGGTGCCTGCCTCACCAGGACATGCCTTCACCAGCACTAACAGAGACAAGCAGAATCTCATTGCAAAACTGCCCGGGCACATTCTGACCACAGACCCAAAGGGCTGACTTCTCAGGGTCAGCACCATAATTTATTCACCAAGAAATTAGATGGCTGGAAGGCTAGTGAAAGCCAGCAAACTCCACACTGAGCTATAACCTATGCATCCAGATTTAAGCAACTAGCATTGCTCCACGACACTCCTCCTG